AGATGAGTCCCACTATTGCTGGCCAGTCCATTCCTGACAGGGGGATCAGGAAATCCGCAATACCAGAAGTGATGTTTATTGCACAGATACATTTTAGGGGCAGAATGGCTTTAACCAGTTCCTCCCTATAATGTCCTTTTAATAAATCTTTAACATCTAACCTAACCCTGAAAAATAACCCTTTAAAGTATACCTGCCATAAGAGAAATATGGAGGCTGCCATTAAACACTTCCTTCTACAATAAATGAATGAATGGAAGATCTTCCAAAGTGTCCAGGCTTTACTGGGACACAAATTTAAAATTAGATTGCCTTTTAAAGTGTTACTAAACCCAGGGCCCTGCATTCACTATATCTGGTCTTCCACAGTACACAGAACATGGAAGTGCAATTATTTTATTAAATATAAACTGTTAAATACCTTTTCTCATCAGCAGTTAAAGCAGTCTTGTGACTGCTATCAGTGTTCAGCAGAGCACTGGTTAAAGCTTGTAGGAGGAGTTTTCTTTCTGCTCTAGGAGGATGCAAAACCCCTAACCTCTGTCTGGACAGTGCTGATTGGCCCTGTGCTGATCACATGCACTCTCCCAAGGCAAAAAAAACTTCTGTAGCAATACACATTAAACTGAGCATGTGCAGAATGGCTACAGGTTCGACCTCTCATATCAGGAGATAAGACGTGGACATTTGAACAAAAGGAGGAGCAGAGAAGTCTGGATCAAATGGCCTTTTTACAAAAATTCAGATGATTAACACCTTAGGTTCCACAGTGAGTATAACAAGCATGCTTTACTGCATATACAGATTGATTTTACTGTTGTGGGTTTAGTAACACTTTAAACCCACTTTATTATAAACTTCAGTACATGCTTTATTACATGTTGTTCATAGTCACTGGGACTGTTTTTCTGTATTTTGCAAAAACCTGGTTGATCCTGCTGTTCACTGTCCCTCCCTCCTTGCCTGTGTCTCCGCTGCAGCTTGATATTGTGTAGACTAGTCATTGCCTCATCTACTGAGCATGCTCTCGTTTCAGTTCCCTTCTAAGCAGTTCATTTCCTCCTTTTTGTAATCTGTGTATCCCATGTTACTGTAGAGTCACACATGTGGGTGTGTACAATCCGAATGAATGACAGCCCATTCCCTCTCTCCTCCTCTGTGCCCACTAAACAGCTAAACACTATAAGGGTGGGATATTACACCGTGTTCCAAATTATTATGCAAATGATATTTTTCTCATTTACCTAAATAATTGATGTAAATAACAGTCAGCATAATTCTCATGTTACCAACTATTAAGAGTACAATTCAAATTTTATTGAACAAACCTCCTAATGATAACATATTTTTTTTAAACATGAAAAACTTCCAATGCACTGTTCCAAATTATTACACACAGTAAGTTTTAAAACACTTTATAGGTTGTAAAGAACTGAAAATTGTCATTTGTTGTGTTTGCAGAATATTTACTGAAATCAAAAGCTATTTCAATCAAACTTTTAACAACATTTTAACTTTTTAAACATTTTAACAGGTCACGTTACATTTTAACATAGGACCCCTTATTTGATAGCAGCTTCACAAGTCTTACATCCATTGAACTTGTGAGTTTTTGGACAGTTTCTGCTTGAATTTGTTTGCAAGATGTCAGAATAGCCTCCCAGAGCTGCTGTTTGGATGTAAACTTCCTCCCACCCTCATAGATCGTTTGCTTGAGGATACTCCAAAGGTTTTCAATAGGATTGAGGTCAGGGGAGGATGGAGGCCACACCATGACTTTCTCTCCTTTTATCCCCATAACAGCCATTGATGCAGAGGTATTCTTTGCAGCATGAGATGGTGCATTGTCATGCATGAAGATGATTTTATTATGGAAAGAATAGTTCTTCCTTCTGTACCAGGGAAGAAAGTGGTCAGTCATAAATTCCAGATACTTTGCAGAGATCATCTTTACACCTTCGGGGGCCCCTAAAGGGGCTGATCAGCTCTGTTCCCATGATTCTGGCCCAAAACATGACTCCACCACTGCCTTGCTGACGTCGCAGCCTTGTTGGAACAGGGTGGCCATCCACCAACCATCCACTACTCTATCCATCTGGACCATCCAGGGTTGCATGGCACTCATTAGTGAACAGGACTGTTTGAAAATTAGTCTTCATGTATTTTTCTGCCCAGTGCAGCCATTTCTGCTTGTGAGCATTGGTTATTGGTGGCCGAATAGAAAGTTTATGCACAGTTGCAAGACTCTGGAGGACTCTACACCTTGATGTCCGTGGGACTCCAGAGGCACCAGCAGCTTCAAATATCTGTTTGCTGCTATGTAATGGTATTTTAGCAGCTGCTCTATTGATCCGATGCATGGATCTGGCAGAAATCTTCCTCAATGTGCCTTTATCTGCACGAACCCATCTGTGCTCTGAATCAGCCACAAATCTCTTAATAGTGCGATGATCACGCTTAGGTTTTTCGTGAAATATCTAATGTTTTCATACCTCGTCCAAGGCATTGAACTATTTCACTCTTTTCGGCAGCAGAGAGATCCTTTTTCTTCCCCATATTGCTTGAAAATGGTGCTCTGCTTAATAATGTGGAACACCCTCCTTTAGTAGTTTTTCCTTAAGTTGGGCTCACCGACCAATCTAATTATCACAGGTGTCCGAGATTGTTTTCAGTGATCAAAAGAGCCCTGACACACAATGCCATCCATGAGTTAAACTGAAAAACAAAATATTTCATCTTTGTGACACTTAAATAGAATTTGCATAATAATTTGGAACACTGTGTATATGCTGATTGATGGAGACATCACCTTCCTGTAATTCTAAGCACAAACAATAGACACAGGCTGGAATGGTTTGAAACAGGCTGTAATTGGCAGAACCACCCCCTAGATAGCCGACACTATGTTTTTGTACATATTTCCCTGCAGATGAGCTGGAAAAGAGCTGGGTTACATGATGCTGTATATCACATATAAAAAATATATGATACGGCCTGCAAAAAAAATGCGATTCTAATCCAAGATTGCTGCTGATGCCATTGAAGCCTGACTCCAAACTTTTTTTGTTTTTGATAGCATGGGTAAGAATTAAAACCTATCTAAGGCTTTTATTGGTGTCCCAATTGGGAAGATTCCCCTCATTTTCCCAGGGAAAGAAAGTGATGCAAAATCTTTTTATTGGGACAGAGACAAAAACAAATTTAGATTAGCTGAAAAATATGCTGTTTTATGCCTCCCCTTTTTGTTATTGTTGATACCGGTGGTGCATTGGTGACACTGTTGTGTTTCTGCACTGGCATCAAATACCATAACATTTCTTAAATAATGAAATTATTCATTTTATTTCATTAATCTGCTTTATTACTACTGTATATAATGTAACAGCTATTTTTTACACTACTATTATGTATAACATTGCAAACCCTTTAAAGCTGAACTCCTAGCAGAAAACTAAAAGCACAGTTGAAATACATACATGTGAAATATTTCATCTACCAAAGGATTTGTAATTCTGTCCAGCCATGTAATACGGGTACCTCTGCCAGAGTCAACTTCCAGGTCGCTGACCCCAGTTTTCTATACTGCATGTAGTCAGTACCAGGGGTAGACTGACCATTTGGAAACTCGGGGTGGAGACAAGATGGAGAGGCAGGGTAACATCAGAGACCTTTCTGCTTTGCATAGTGCTCTCAGAATTAAACTGTTCTTAAAAAATCTGTCCTTGCCCAAATTCAAAATAGCCTATGAAAATGGTAACAGGGGCATCTCATGGGGCCCCATGAGATGCCCCTGGTACCTTTTTCATAGGCTTTTTTGAGTTTGGGCAAGGACACAGGGGCCCCATGATCCCCTATTGCCCGGGGGCCCCATGAGTTGTAAGTCCACCCCTGGTCAGTACATATTAGTGAAGGACTTACTGTAGGCCATTGAAGGGGACAGTAAAGGTGCAGCAGACTGAAAAGGTCATTCCTATGCTCTCTTCTTCTGGAAGAGTTTTTAAGAACAGTTTAATTCTGAGAGCACTATGCAAAGCAGAAAGGTCTCTGATGTCACCCTGCCTCTCCACCTTGTCTGATCAGAGAAAGCTTTGCAATCATTGAGAAAATCCAAACTGTTCTGTAGATGGAGCCCATGCCAAGTGAGTGACCTCCTGTGTTCACTAAGCTGCAGATCAGCCACTTGGCACAGGACTTGGAAGCTAGTAGAGATCACTGTATTAGTGGTGCCTACCATAGTAATTTCCAGCTTCCACGGGGATCCCACAGGTATGGCACATACATTGGTACAAGTTTGACCAATGTAGCTGTGCAAAAATATCCGTAAGTAAACTTCAGCTCTAAACAGAGGTTGCTTATCCTGTCCTTGGCCTTTCCTATTGGGACAGACTCACTCTAAAATTGTTGAGAAATTCTTGCAGTCAGCCATGACACCTTCTCCTAAGAAACTAAGATTTCCTGGATCAACTGTGGGTATAGCATTATAACTTTGTTTTTTTGTTTTTTTTAATGGTTGAACTGGATGGACGTTTGTCTTTTTTTCAGCCAGACTAACTATGTAAGAAATATTTAAAAAAATATATATATTTTTAGGCATGCTGTGTGAATGGGAACATATAACATAGAGGGGTTGCGGATTTCTAAAATTTGACCGCACAAGTGGAAATACACTTTAAAGTTTCTTAGCGATGGTCAGTTTATATAGCTGAATGCTTTCTGTAAATCACAGTGGAATTAAGCAGCATACGGAGAGGGCAGCAAGGAAAGGGTTAAACTGCTTGGAATGGCTCATCAGCTAGTCTGGTAACTGGAGTTCCAGGCTTTTGGCAGTGGTAGAGTGACATGGCATCTGCTGTGTGAAATAAGAGAGATTGCAGTTCTGATGTTTCTCTTACTCCTGCAGATCTGACAGGATGCACTAGAGGTCTTCCCAGCACCAAAAAAGAAATCTTGAAAGTCCAGGAGACAAAAGGAGCTGAGGAGGAAATACGGACTCTGTGCCAATGCAGCAACAGAAACGACAGCCAGAACTAGTGGAAGGAAACCTTCCTGTGTTTGTCTTTCCGACTGAACTAATATTTTATGCCGATGATCAGTCAACACACAAGCAAGTGTTAACGTTATACAACCCCTATGAGTTTGCCTTAAAGTTTAAAGGTAAGTGTGATCGGCCGTCTCCGATGTCTGTGCAGATGTTTTCATGAGCTTTCACATTGACGCGGCTGTAAGCTGCAAAATAAATAGCAGATTCAACATCATGGCATGGAAAGAGTTAAAGGAGGGGTGTATTTGTTTTCAGTTCTAGATGGGATTTGTTTCTACAGCTTGAGTGTTAGTGTGCCCAGTTTAAAGAATAGGAGGGTACAGTGATTTCCGAAAGGAGAAGACCGCGTAGTTGGACGAGTGAGCCTACGGAAAAACAGGGGGATTGGCAAAAACACTGGGGTGGATCTGTTGTCCGTGTTAACCTATTATTTTTATCTTTCATTTTACGTATAGTAAAATGGGTCTAAAGAAGCCAAAAATGCTAAACTGCCAATATTTCATCATTAAACCTGTACTGCAGTTTGAAGTTATTGTAAGCCTCCAGAACCCCCCCCCCACACACACACACATACACACAGACATACACACATACATACATACATACATACATACACATACACACACTCACATACACACACTCGCACACTTTTGTTTGAATTCTGTTTGAATTGTGCCATTTGCTTTGTAAGTACTTCATTGTTGCTTCTGAAGTTGCAGCCACACAAGTGTTTTATCTGCACTGCAAGCCTCCTTCTGGTTGGGCTGTGGTCAGGCAGTTTCGTCGCTGCACAGTTCTATAGGGACTCCATATCCCACTACGTAGCTCCGCCAGACATTGGGTGGGTGGGCGTTAAATGGGGTGAGTTATCTCTTTTGAATAACACCCCTTGTTTGTCAGCTTGCTGTTGCCAAACATTTTATGCAATAGATGATTTAAAGTAACACTAAGCCCCAGTTCACATATATGCGGCCATGCGGGCCACGTTTTGGACGGGCACAAGAGCCCATTCATTTGAATGGACTCCCGTGCCCCGTATGGAAGAAGTCCTTGCACTTCTTCCGAAAACGCAGCCTGCACGGGAACCTCGGTTCCCGGTACAGTTGCATTTTCCAGTGCGGGCGGCGGCCCGTGGGTCCGCATTTTTCTGTGCGGGTGGTGGTGCGGTTGCACGGATTTTCATGCGGATCCGCATTGGCACCACCTGCACAGATGTGAACTAGCCTTAATGATAAATTTATTTTCTAAAACTAATCCTTACACATTCACTACTTAATGGCCCTGTAATCTATTTTTCATGAAATCATTCCTTACTGTGTTGTTCTGTCTCCTTGTAACATTGTCTGGGAGTTCTCAAACCTCTCCTTTTACCCCTCACTTCCTTTTGTTTGAAACGAGTGCATGTTAGTTGGGGTCAAGTACACTACTCTACACACACTATACATTCCATAGTCCATAATCTATTTGGGGAGAGAGCAGGAGAGGGTGGCTGCATTCCAACATATGATGGGACCATGGAGAATGAACGTAGCTGCCCTCTAACAGGAAGTCGGATCACTGAAGCAACAAAAGTAAGAAATTTGGAGATTTGGAATACACCAAAAGGAAAATAAAGTACATTTTTAGGTTAAATTGTTATTTTCAGAGGGGTTGGAAAGATGTACGGTGTTAACTCACCTTTTCAGAAAAAAATGAAAAGGGGAACTAACACTTTAAGGCTGGGTTCACACTGATGCGGTGCGGCATATCGCATGTGATTCACACAGAAACCACACCGCATTCCTGTGCAAATCACATGTGAACTATGTGCGGTGCGATTGGAGATATACATTTTAGATGGTTCAAATCGCACCGCACCGAAAAGGTGCAGGACCCTTTTTTTGGTCCGCACTAGAATCGGATTGCATGGGTATTCACACCCATGCAATCCGATTCTGCACATCGCACCGCGTTTTGAGGACCGACTTCGGGGTGTTCTTAACGAAACATACACACCCTCAGCGGTTTGCATGAATGGGGTGCGATTGTGGTGTGATGTGGAATTCGCACAGAAAACGTTGCAAATTTTGCACCGCATCAGTGTGAACCCGGGCTACATATACATACATACTTGAATAGATTTTTTTTCTCTTTAGCCACCTTCCGCCCGCCATATAGTACAATGACGGGCGCAAGGTGGTTCTCTCGTTCTGATAGGACGTCATATGACGTCCTTTCCATTCTCACCGCGCATGTGCAGTGCGGCGATTGCCGGTGCACTGTGTCCCTCAGACACGGATCACGGAAAGAGCTGAAGATGTCGGCTCGGTCATGTGATCGACTGTGTCCAGTCACAGTTGATCACATGTAAACAGGGAAATGCCGGTTATCGGCATTTCTCTCCTCTCGAGCTGTCACGTTTTTCTTTATTTAAGAAAAAATAAAAATCCCAGAGGTGATTAAATACCACCAAAAGAAAGCTCTATCTGTCTCAAAAAAAAGATAAAAATTTCATAAGGGTACAGTGTTGCATGACCGCGCAATTGTCATTCAAAGTGTGACAGCGCTGAAAGCTGGAAATTGGCCTGGGCAGGAAGGGGGTATAAGTGCCCAGTAGGCTAGTGGTTAAACTAGAGTTTTGTGTCACTTTAAACTTTTCCTTATGTTAAACAATGTAATTAAAATCACTAAAATATTATATTGTATTTTATTACTACTAATTTTTATATCAGGATATCTATACTTCTTTTACCTCCCTTTTTTTTTAGTGCTTTTTAAATAAAAAAAAAAGCTAGCAGCTGATTGGCAGTTATTGTTCTTGCAGCCATCACTATAACACTCAGCAAGTTAGAATAAGTAGAATGTTCTATGATTGGCTTCTTGCTGGAAAATAATACGTCTTAAGCTCATATTTGTCACAACTTTCTGGCTGTGTATGGCTACTCTTACACATTTCATTGGCTGGAAGAACAGATTTGAGTCAGTAAATATTTTTGCACTTGTGCTCACGTGCATGAGCATCACATGATCCATGAACATGCTCCTAATGGAATGCAGAGATGTCAGAGTAGGGAGAACGCTGTGGATTAGCTCACTCAAGCACTCATTGTTTACTTCAGTGTTGTCGTTTCTAAGGCAAAAAAGAGTGAACCTCCTTATGGGAAGAAAGGCAGGTTAACCACTTGCCTACCAGGCACTTATACCCCCTTATTTACCAGGCCAATTTTCAGCTTTCAGCGCTGCCGCACTTTGACAATTGTGCGGTCATGCAACATTGTACCCATATGAAATTTTGATCATTTTTTTCTCACAAATAGAGCTTTCTTTTGGTGGTATTTAATCGCCACTGGGCGCTTTACTTTTTGCGCAATAAAAAAAAATATGCAAAAAATTTGAAAAAAAAAAAAGTTTCTTTGTTTCTATTATAACATTTTTCAAACAGGTATTTTTTCTCCTTCACTGATGTGCGTTGATGAGGCAGCACTGATGGGCACTGAGAGGCAGCACTAAAGGGCACTGATAGGCAGTACTAATGAGGTGGCACGGATAGGCGGCACTAATATGCAGCACTGATAGGCGGCACTGATAGGTGACACTGATGATGGGTACTGACGGCACTGACTGGCATCACTGCTGGGCACTGACTGGCGGCACTGACTGGCACAACCCCTGGGCACTGACTGGTGGCACTGACTGGCAGCACTGCTGGGCTGCACTGGTGGGTGGCACTGGTGGGCAGCACTGGTGGGTGGGCACAGGTGGGTGGCACTGGTGGGCACAGGTGGGTGGGCACAGGTGGGTGGCACTGCTGGGCACAGGTAGGTGGCACTTCTGGGCACAGGTGTGTGACACTGCAGAGTGGCACAGGTGGGTGCACTGCTGGGCACAGGTGGGTGCACTGCTGGGCACAGGTGGGTGATCTGCTGGGCACAGGTGGGCGGAGCTAGTGGGCGCACTGCTGGGCACAGGTGGGCGGAACTTGCGGGTGGCACTGCTGGGCACCGATCATCATCAGTGCCCTGATGATCGGTGCCGATCCCCGCTCTGACAACTGCCGGTTCTCGGCAGTACTTTCCTCACGATCTGACAGCGTGAGGAAAGTGCAGCCGAGAACCGGCACTTGCATTTCCCTCTGATCAGCGTGTCATTGGACACCGCTGATCACGTGGTAAAAGGCCGCTGTGATTGGCCTTTTACCACATCACGTGATCAGCTGTGTCCGTAGGACACAGCGATCACGGAGATCGCCGGGTGCGCGCCCCCTGGGGCGCGCAGGAAAGCGCGTTCTGGGAGGACGTCATATGACGTCCACTCAGAACTGGCCGGCCGCAGTGTAGCCGTCATTCGGCTATCTGTGGTCGGCAACTAGTTAAAGATTAGGATAAAATCTGATCAGCTTGTATGTCACATGCAGTGACAGGGTAATGTTGTCTTTTCAGGCATCATTTTTTTTCAGATTCTATCAGAATTGTTTAATTGAACTTGGAAGCAATTCATTTTTGTCAGTGCAATGTCTGATATTTTTTTTTTTTTCAATAAAAATAATGATTTTTTTTTTTTCCAAAATGTTTAAAGTATTAGTTTTAGTTTTGGATAGAGTGCAGAGGGGTTAGAACACCTGGCAAGTTTTATTGCTGTCTGTGCCTTCATTAAGGAGATTCACCCTCTCTATTTGTTCTGTTTACCATTATCATTGAAAGTAAAAGGAAATCCCAAATTTTGGCTTGTCTCAGAAAGTAATAGAGGGGAAATCTTCTAATGGGGACACTAATGCTGGTGACCTGGGGGCCCCCAAGGAATTCCCTTAATTTGAAGGAATTTTTTCTCACTTCCTGTTTGGCTATGGGACAGGAGGAGAAATCTCCACAATGGGACACAGATAGTGAAAAAACATTTGACATGGATTATAACCCTCCCTTGTTCTATCCAAAATGAAAAATAAAGTTTTGCCTATAGTTTCTCTTTAATTTGTTTATTTTTTGTCAGTGCTAAATATCTGTAATAAATGAACTAATCATGCTATTTCTTCCTCCTCCAGTTCTCTGTACGTCCCCAAACAAGTACGCTGTTGTTGATGCTGCAGGCGCAGTGAAGCCACAGTGTTGTGTTGACATGTAAGTATTACTCTCAAATAGTTGAAAGTGACCTTGGCACATAATGAAAGACGGTCAAGCAATTACATACCTGAAAAGAAGAAACAAATACTTACCTTGCGTGCTCTGGCATTTAACCCCTTGACGCCGACGTAGCACAAATATGCGGCCTCACAGAACTGGGCTTTTTTCTGTGGGGCCGCATATTTGCGTACCTATCTTTCTGCTGGAAGCGCACTGCGTAGCGCGCTCCCAGTGCAAAGACCACGGTGTCACTGGGAGCCCTGGTCCCGTTCTAACAATCGGGATCCGGGACTCCCGATTCCAGGTCACATGATTGCTGTGATAGCCTCTGATTGGCTGTCACAGTGATCAGTCACTGTAGAGCCCGGCCCCCTTGTGTTTTTCTTTTCTCTCTCTATGAATGGAGGAGAGAGATACATTTTATCTCTCTAACTCCTGGCATAGAGGGAAAAAAATGTTTGCTTAAAAAAAAAAAGATAAATAAATATTTAAAAATAAAATTAAAAAATACCTACATCAAGGTTTGATCTAGTTCAGTGCCAGGGTAAGTGTTTGGGTCAAAAAGTCAGGGTCAAAGGTCAGGATTTAAAAAAAATTGGTATCAATGTCAGTTGGTGTCAGTGTGTGTTTTTAGGTTAAAAAAACAAAACAAAATGCACACTATTGTTTCTGGGCTGTACTATGAGTACAAACAACAAATAACATACACATATATGGTATCACTGCGATCATCAAGAGCTGGAAAATTTATTTTGGGTTGTTCTTTGGTGGTAGGTTATGGTAGTAACAAGAAACACACAGCTAAATTTAAAAAAATATATTTTTTTATTATTTTGGGCCAGTTTTCCTTTGATAATAAAAAAAAATCAGGAGATATCTATTAACATTTACCACCAAATGAAAGCCCAATTTGTCCTGAAAAAAAACAAGGTATAATTCACTTGGATGTACAAAGTAGTTGTGATGATATGTATGGTTTTACTAACACATGTCAACGTTGCAAATTTGTGCTTAGGCATTTAGATTTGTTTTACCCTTAGGCATGAGGGGGTTAAACACTGCTCTCTAATCTAAGAATTCGCCCTCTTAACTCCATTGGGAAACTGACACTCCTGGAAGTGTCAATCTTCAGGGTTCCCCACAGCGATCACTTTCTGCTTCTTCCACATCTCTGAAATGTTTGGCAGGGAACATTATTATTATTATTATACAGTATTTATAAAGCGCCAATAGTTCGCTCAGCGCTGTACATTACAAAGGGGGACAGAACATGTGACAGAACAATACCAATACAATGCAAAACATGAGAGGGGATTGAGGGCCCTGCTCTTTCGAGCTTACAATCTAGGAGGAAGGGGGTGGTGGCACAGGAGGAGATAGCTGTGGGGGATGGAGTGGTAGGAAGAGTGGAGGAGGTCGGCAAGTTAGCAGGGGGTGGGGTAGGCTTCCCTGAAGAGATGGGTTTTCAGGGTGCGCCTAAAGGAGAGGAGAGTAGGTGATAATCTGATGGGTTGGGGCAGGGAGTTCCAGAGGATGGGTGACACCCTGGAGAAGTCCTGGAGGCGGGCATGGGAGGAGGAGACCAGGGAACTAGAGAGAAGGAGGTCTTGTGAGGAGCGGAGTGTGCGTGCTGGGCGGTACTTGGATATTAGGTCAGTGATGTAGTTCGGGGCAGTATGGTGGACAGCTTTGTACGTCAGCGTTAGGATTTTGAATTTGATCCGTTGCGCAATCGGAAGCCAGTGGAGGGATTGGCAGAGGGGGGTGGCGGAAATGGAGCGGTTGGAAAGGTGAATGAGTCTGGCAGCCGTATTCAGGATCGACTGAAGCAGGGATAGCCAGCGGTGAGGCAGGCCAGTGAGGAGGGAGTTGCAGTAGTCGAGTCGTGATATGATGAGGGAGTGGATGAGCTGTTTAGTGGTTTCTGGGGTTAGGAACGTGCGTATTTTGGCGATGTTGCGGAGGTGGAGTCTGCACGAGTTTGTTAAAGATTGGACTTGGGGCTGGAAGGATAGGTTGGAGTCCAGAATGACACCCAGTACTCTGGCCTGCAGGGCGGGTTTGATGGTAGCGTTGTTGGACGTGACGGAGAAATCAATGGGGGGTGGTGTCCGGGCTGGGGGGAAGAAAGAAATAGTCTGCCTAATGCACTGTTGTATGAAGACTTGCTCACTAAACCTTTAAGTGAACCTGTACTGCCTCCATTAAAGATTTGATTGAATAAACATAAAAAAAAAACAAGCCTTTTTTCCTCATAATCGACGCCTTCTAGATTTTCACTCTGTGTATATGGGTGATTTAGGTCTATAATAATGGCTGTGGACCTGCCAAACCATTTTAGTGTATATTATATGACCTGGAGTTGTAATGGATTGTATTTGTCTTTATGTATTGCTTGTGTATTTGTATCTATATTGAAAAAAACACACTAACAAAATCTGATTGCCACCAAAATGCTATTCATTCTCCTAACCTTTGTACAATCTTTCCTCTGTGCTTTAGTGTTATCCGGCACAAAGATGTCCGAGCCAGTCACTTTGGGGTTATCGATAAATTTCGCCTTCAGGTGTCCGAACAAAGCCAGAGAAAAGCACTGGGGCGTAAAGAGGTAATAGCAATGCTGCTTCCGTCCGCTAAAGAGCAACAGCACAAAGAGAGAGGAGGAAAAAAGGTTCAAGGAGCATCTAGCAGAAAGTGTCTTCTTTGAGCAGGCACCTTGCCAGCCAGGTCAGTGAAGTTATGTGCCTTATATATTTAACTTTAAGACACATTTAATAGAATTACCCTATTGTTCTCACCTAAATTAGTACTGAGAAACTCTCCGTGTACCTGAGTGCCTTTTAAAGGGTCAGTCCACCCTACTTCTTGGTAGATACTGGGGAGTTAAACCCCTGGCTTTTTTATCTTCTGGGGATGCAGTTTATGAGATCTTTGTTCCTGGCTCAGCCCACGTGCTGTGGCCATTATGAGGACTACTCTCTTTGTTGCAGTTTTTATAATTTTTTTTTTAATTTGGCTCTTTGTCATTATTTCTGGTACAAATGATGGTGAAATATAATATGCTTAACCACTTCAATAACACACACTCTCACCCCCTACCTGCCCAGGCCGACTTTCAGATTTCAGCACTGTCACACAATAAATGGCAATTATGCAGTCATGCAACACTGTACCTAAATTAAATTTTTATAATTTTTGAGACAAATAGGGCTTTTTTTTGGAGGTATTCATTCACCTATGGGTATTTTATTTTTTTTGGACAAAAACAAAAAAAATACTGAAAATGTAGAAAAAAAACCCACATTTTTTTTTTTTTATTATAATAACATAATCTTTCTTCAAAAATTCAGGCCGAAATGTATGCTGCTACATTTCTTTGGTAAAAATAACTCAAATCAGTGTATAATATTTTGCATGTAGGAAAGTTATAGAGTCTATAAACTATGGTACATAAAATATATTTGAAAATTAATCAGTCCTGATGTATTGACTACCCATCTAATTTCCTGAGGTTCTAAAATGCCAGGACAGTACAAATATCACCCAAATGACCACTTTTTGGAAAGTGGATAGACCAAGGTATGTACTGAGAGTCATGGTGAAGTTTTGGAAGTTGTAATTTTTTTACAATTTTTTTGAAAATTACAAAATTAAAGAATATGTAAACCCTACATTTCATATTCCGGATATGTGCCTGTTTTAGGATGTACTTGTATGAAAAAGTATCCTGTTCTCTTTGTATGAAATCCCTGGTGTTCCGGCCAATCCTTCTGCTTTCCTATTAAAAACAGACTACACTAGGCGAGAAAACACACTGTGGCCAGTTTTCTAGCTGGGAGCTCTTCCTGCTCTCCTGCAATGATCAGACTTCTATTTACACACACACACACCCCCACCCCCTTTAACCATTCACTGGCCAGATTAGCGTGCTGCTGTTTCTCCTCCCCACCTCTTATGCAGCTGAGAACAGACGGTAGGTAATCACAAAGAAGGAAAAAAAGGTGCATATAATTTTTTTTTTTATATCTATACACAAATGTTTTGCCTTTCATTTCTTTTTAAGCTGAATTGGTTGTTTTACAAGAGGAAGGTTTACAAAAAAAAATAGTTTTTCACTGTTTTTTTTTACATACTGTCACCAGAGCAGTACAGCATCGTCATATGACTGGTGTGGCGGTGATCAGGGATACTGACTGGTGAATGTAAAACAAAAGTAATACTTTTTTGATATTTCTTTCTACTTTTATCTCTTTTTTTTATATTTTTTTTCTTTTTTTACATACCGTGACCAGAGCAGTGCAGTGTTACCATGGTGACGCTGTACTACTCTGGGGAGGTGATCATTTTTTTTTTTTTTTTTTTTTTTGAAACTATGATTTCTTATAACAGTAATGATAGCTGTTATAAGCAATCATTTTTATGAAAGCCATTCATAGATTGACAGTGTGTACTACTGTGACTGGCGACCACTATCACATAGTGTAGATGCACTGTGATTGGCTCTGTGACCAATCACAGAGATCATCACAATAGTACACAATGAATGGCTATGAATGAAAGCCTTTCTTTGTGTGCAACTGACATGTGATTGCTGTGATTGGTCACAGCAATCGCAAGGTACAGATGCCATCCGCTGTCTGGTGGATACAATGGGTGACAGATTGAGCCTCAGCACAGCGTGCAGGAAGTGTACATCTGGAGGACATCATATGTCCACCCAGGACAACAGTGCTCCTGCTCGGCCGTGTTTTTTTTTTTTTTTGTAGCAATAAGCCGGGCAGGAGATGGCTAACATGTTCCTTCATGAAATAATTGACACTTTAATGTATCAGGTGAAGTAGCACAAACACTCCAAGAATCAGGAATGCTTATTAAAATGACTGTCATGAAAAAGTGTGGGAGGTGCCCTTGCTGGCTCTTTTAAAATGCTAGCTGCCTAGTTTCAGTACTTTCAGTCACAGTCCTGGAACAAGATTGCTTTAAAAGATAATCAGAAACGTTTCAGAATTTCATATCTCTGTTTGTGACTTTAATTCCTCCTAGGGTAGCCCTAAATGACCTAGTCCTCACCCAAGCATTGCAGTGGCTCATTAACATCAGGGTGTGATCATGCCGATTATGGCCACAATAACTGTCCTTTCTCTTAATACAGGTCTATCAGTATGTTTAGATTCTGTGGCACATCATTTAATTGTAATTTTATATCAGCAGGGATGCTGTTTCTCTTTAGAGAATTTTGTAAAGAAATCAAATGTGTTAAACTCTCTCCACAAAAAAAATGCACAAAGCAATAGACCAGTTTTATCCTTATTGTTTCAGATATCAGAAACTCCTCCTCAGGGCCCAGTCTGCTGATGATCTTCCTCGGCATGGTTTGCATCGCTGCACTGATGATGCCCACTATGGGTGAAATGGAATCTATGGTGCCTCTCTACCTCCACTTAAGTGTGAATCAGAAATTAGTAGCTGCCTATGTTTTAGGTAAGGATATTACAGTGGTAAAAGGTAAACAATACACACCAGGCCTTAATCTGCCATATGTGGCACATAGCTGTTGCTGAGTGTTATAGGCCCCTGATTTACATGCATTGCTGAAACCAACACTTTTTGCAAAGCAGCACACCCACAACACAACTAAAACTAATAGATGTGAATAGAGCCTCAGGAATACCATCCTAAAGTGTAAGCGGTTTTTTTATTAGAACAGGGAATAGTTAGCTCTGTCAGGTTTTCTTACTTGCTCATTGAGGGACTCAGGATTCAGAGAGAATTGAGGTATGCTGCAGTAGACACTGGCAGAAATAAAATCAGTGACCAGCCAATATAACTTCTTCCATTACCAGCATGCCTTTTTTCCCCTTCTCCTGCTGCTTTAGCTGATCTTTATACGCAGCTATCCTAATAGGTATAGCCTTAGCTGTAGCTTTGGAGGCCATACCTGGACTTCACTGGGCTGGACAATTGCAGGGCTAGCCTAAAATGTGACCTTAGGGCACCGGGCTCTGCATTGTGGCACTTTCCAGACCTGAGTGTACTGTGTTAATTAGCTGTGGAATGCTTTTCGAGTCCAGAGCCTTAACACATCCTCTGGTGTGAACTTGTCTTTAAAGACTCACTTTGAGAGTATGACATATGAGCCGAGCGTCGGGAGTTACATTAGTTATCCCTTTTTGTGTTGTTTCACATCAAAAAAAACAATGCTGAAGGACTGAGCGATGATACACTCTTCTTCAGAAATACCTTCTTCCTCTTCAGAAACACCTCCTGGTACCGCTACTTGTCGTAAGTGGCACTGGGATCTTCCTGGGTTGGTCTTTGCTATCCGCTTACAGTGACCTGGTCACCTCTGAACTTCTCTGAACTTTTCCTGCATCCAGCAGAGCAAGTTTGTGAGTACCCAAAGTTTAGCCTACTATGGACCTGGCATTATCCTGTCTTAAAAAGTATTAACAATTCCTGTAGAAGATGTACCTGTCTGGAGAGCCTTTCCAAAACTTTGTTTTCTCTGGCTGGCCCTGCATTTCAACCTATATTGGCTGTGATATTCATCTGTTCTTTGAGCTTCAGGCAGCCCTAAGTTTGGATTTTTTGTTATGTGAACCTATTTGTTTTTGTTACTGTTGAGCTTTTGGACACCTCTCAGTTGAGCTTTTGGACACCCCAGTTGTCTCTGAACCATGTGCCTCTTAGTGATGAGACATATATTGTTTTTTGCATTTACCCTACAATCCATTTCTTGGAACTCATTGAAGGACACAGGTGTCTGATCTTACTTCTAGTTTTGCTTTTCTACAAAACTGAGGCATGCTTGGATTATGAATGTTTATACCGACTGGTCACTTTTTTGTTTGCCCAGATTTTGTGTCCAGATTCTCCTGTATGTGACCGTATAACCCATTTGTCCAAATCCTGTGTCCCTCAATAAATTCCAGGAAATACACCCCTTACCTGGGATATTCTTCTCTCTCCCTGTGTAATCACGGGTTAGGAAGTGAGTGGAAATATCAAGAATAAGGACACATACATAAATAAAAACCTGGAAGAGGTTCTTAAGCATCCTTACCTTATTCAGTAAGTGTTGGATGGAGTTGCACTTTGAAAGCCCATGTAGCTGCACTGAAACCTCTTATTCTCAGTTAATATACGCTTTGTGAAACATTTTTACTTTGTACATATTACACACACACATAACCAAAAGGAAGATGTGGAGTCAGTAGACTATATCATAAAAGCAGCACATGTCCTAGACCCTTCTCTGTTACTGTCAGGAAGATGTGGGTAGACTTGCTGTTGACTTGGTTTTCTTTCTTAATACAAGTCCTCACATTCTGTTCCATTTAGTTAGGTAGGTCATGTTTCAATTAAACACATTCAGTACAAACACAGACTGTGGTCAGGGCACAGGGCATTCAGGTGTAAAGTGAAGGCCAGATCTTGGCATCATCACTGATATAATCTATGTGTAACCTACCATGCTAGGATACAGGCCTGGCAGTGGCTGCACGTAATTGTTAGGTTGTTAGGTTATTTGCAGACCTGTTTGATCTTGCTTATAAAGTTAGTTTAACAATCCATGATTTTGTGGTTAAGTAATAGTCTGGCAAGTTGCACCATTCATTAACTCTATGTTGATATATTTTAACTGTCTCCTTACAGTCCAGACAGTGTGAATACAATACATCCCACAAAACATAGCTTTGTTTGCATCTAAACAGCCCACATAACATAATTTAATAGAAATTTTGGAAGAAAACAATAATTCCCGTGAGAAAATCTTACTGTTTAAATAATGTATCACAAAAATAGACCTACAGTATGTATGACCACTTTTCAGAAGTGGTTGTAAAAGTAAAGTTTTTTTTCTCTGCATTAACGTAGTCACCCACCCCCACCAAATACTTCCCTCTTCTTTCCTCTCCCGACTCCCACAGGCTGGGCTGAGAACAGCAGGAGTCATGGGCTCTTGCTGCTCTCAATTAAAACTTCTGAGCAGACAGCAGGGGATGTGTCCAAGTCGGGCTGTGTGTCTGAATAGATGTAAACAGCCCAGCTCAGGATCGAGCATGCATGAGCACCCGCATATAGGAAGCGGCTTCCTGTGGGGGCATGCAGCGGTGGGGTTCCCCAGAAGAGGAAGATTTGGGCTGCTCTGTGCAAAACCACTGCACAGAGCAGGTAAGTATGACATGTTTATTATTTCAATTAAAAACATTCAAAGTTTTACAGTCTCTTTAACCTGGAAAAAAGTCAGTTCCCATGATGATGCAATACGAGTGTCTCCTATTCTATGTAAGTCGTTTAGCATTATGTGTTGGAAGGGGTGGACGTAACTTTAAAGAAAAATTCAGACACAGTCTATGATGCATTAGTTGCTCTCCCATTGCAAAGATAGAAGATAAATGCTTGCCAGTTCTATTTAGCGATTTCAACAGCTCCACATTTTCAAACAATATCACATATCACCGAAAACGGGATAATATCCTAATGTTGTGCTGGGGGCGGAAAGAGTTGATCTAGTTTTGTCATGTCAATGCAACAGCAGATCACTAAAAACACAGCATTTGTAAAACTAAGGTTGTAGATGCCACCCTGGCAAATCAAATTTCTCTTGGCAGTAAGATCTCACTCTTGAGAGTGTAAAGATACAGCACAGGACACTTTCAGTGCCTATCGGGTATTAAGTATGCTGTTTTATGATGAGGTAGATTAAGTCATTGTTAATTTGCTGGTTAAAAAAAAAAAATTAAAAGTCAGCAACTACAAATACTGTAGGGTTGGGCTGATGCGTTGTTTGAACCCAGGGCACACTACAAGAGGTACAGGGCACATTCCCTGGGTTTCCAGTGCTAGCAACACCGATGGTTTAAGTGTTTAAGATGAAAAGTTCACCTTTCCTAACATGGTACATGTTACACCTGTATTCAGGGTGTAACATGTAACATGTTACTGATGCAGCAGCCGTACAAGGTATGGGCAGACAGCCATACTGCTAGTCTGCAGGAGCCTGAGACTGCACCTGCAATTTGTTGATCGAAGGTGCAATGCTTTACAGGCTTCTAATAAGAATAAATAAATGCACAAAATTTTTTATCTGCAAAAAGATGTGCATTTATTTATTTTTTATCCAAAGGTGAACTTCTGCTTTAAGGAATATGTTATCCTTTACTACTGTATTTAGGGTGTAACATGTTCCAGTACTAGGTAAAACACTGCATGACAAGCATGATGGGCCAACCAAGGACAGCACATTGAAACTGTACCTGTTCCCTAGCTAGTTTTATGTTAACCAGTTCCAGATTTCAGTAAAGATTGCTCACAACCACCACAGTTAATTTCTGACAGTTGGGAATTCAGAGGTCTGTCATTTCATTTGTAGTGCAGTCCCTTTTCTAAGCATCAGGGTACCCTTGACAGATGGCCCCCACCTTTTTCTGTTCCAAAGAGAGCAGTGCTGCACCTCACAGTATTTCTGTCAGAAATCTTAATGGTTCCTTTTGACATTTCTTAAAGAACAAGTATAATTTTATATGAAAACCCAACAACCTACCTTCACAGCTTCAGCATACATAAGTGAAATGTAATAGAGTACCATAGATGACTATAAAAGGTATTACCCTCAGCAAATGCACTTAAAAGAAAATGGGAAATGCTAATGTTCCTTGTGGTCCTTCCACATCTTCAGTTTCATGCATGTAGCAGGCTATCTTAACAATTATTTGAACTTATGGAAGGAGGGCTTTGCAAGAAGGGGGGATAGGGAGGAGGTGGGGTTTGCATTTTGTTTCACTTATCAATGAAGAGACTGAAGATGAATGCCTGGATGAGACCTAATTTATGCTGATAAACGAAAAAATATTTTCTTAATTATACATCACAGAACACAGGAAATGGCTAATTCTCAGACCATTGTGGGTTATGCTGTACTCTCAGGTGATTGGACATTGGCAAATAGCAAAGTTTAATTCAACCCTGCATAATGTTTCCCACTCCCAGCATTGGTAGTGTCCTTAGATGATGGACATGCCTCTCTGGAGAGAAAGTTTTCCCTTTTGTAGTACAGTTTTCATCTTCTAGCAAATTTGCATTCAGCCAGTGAGCTCTTGGTACTCTTGTAAATCCTGGCAGACCCCGGGAAGAAGAACTGGAACAACCTGGAAGCTGCTACACACAGTGGACCCTGTGGCCTTAGTCTGCTGTGGTGGAGCCTAACTTGGGAATTGAAGTCCGTCATAGTGCTGGTGTCAATCTTCCCCTCTTCAAGTTCTTTCATGGGGCAAAAAAGACCAGCTTTGGATCTCAAGGAGCATCCAGTGTTTCATTTACTCCTTTAGGGGCTCCTTCCTCAGGTATCTTCATATCCAAGCAAGAACTTTCTTCTGCTTTGTCCACTGTGTTGGAACATCTGGCAGATATTCATGATTTAAGAAAGGGGGATGTAAGCATTCCAGATCTCTGCCTCCACAGGAGCTGCTCTGTGAACTCCCCCTTCCACCCTTCTAAGGTTTGGAAGAGGAGGAAGTGGAAGAGGGAGGGTCTGGGAAATAGGTTACTCTGAGGTGGGCAAATCCTCACCGGAGAGAACTGAAGCCTCAAACATTTCTCAGGCCCAAAAGACCCCTGGGAACCCTCACCGAGGTGGTCCTTAAGAACTGTCATTGCTGGAGCCCTCTGAGCCAAATCCTTTCTGCTACACCCTCATACTGAAGAGGAATTTTACGAGGATTGACTTTACCTGGACAAGGTTTTTGCACCTCCAAAATGGTTCACGCAACAATATCTGATGGAAGAAAGTAAAAGCTTCAAAAACAAATTGGATGGTCCATGTTGTGGACCCCATGGTGTCTCATCTTACAGTCCTGCGGGTTACTTTTTTTTGTTTAAGGACCCTGCGGAAATAACATTTGAAACCCTCTTTTTTTCCTGTTTAGTGTGGCTGTGAGCCTAATTGCTTCCATAGGAGTTTGCCAAGTTTTGTTGATTTGGGCAAAGTGAATGTCTAAGGAACCAGGTGCCCTTCGGTTAGATTTTTCAGCTAGACAACACTTTCCCAAAGCATTTCTGTTTCTGTGTGAATGGATTGGGATAATCAGAATAAGTTCTGGCCCTTTCTATGGTGTACATTCCAGGTGTGGAAAAATGGCTAGTGGACTTCCTAAGCCATCAGTATCTAAATCCTGGAGAGCATTCTCTGCGCCCGGAGGTATTTCGGTCAAAGTGACATTAGCCCCAAAACTATATAGGCGACATAAAGTAGGAGGTCAGTTACCACTGTTTAAGCAACTCCTAGCTACCTCTGGAAGAACCTTAAGGTTGCACTGACACATGACTGAGAAAGGCTGGTGCAATAATTAACATGTTTTAGGGCTAATGAATTTAAAGTTACAACCCTGCAGAAGGAAGGCTGCCTCTCCTGAACCAGACTAAATGAAACACTTTCATATTTGACCTGAGTGAAAGCTGATCATACATTATACAATCTGATTGTGCAATCTCTGTACAATATTTTTTAAACCTACCAAACCTAAACAATTAATTTCATTTATAATAAAACTGGTAGACCTTTGCATACATAGGTGACGGTACATCTAAGAGTTTGTCTAATCAGATTGATTAGAGTATGATCACCTTAAACTTAAGTGCAAGCCTTTAATATCCTTGTTTTCTTAAATGAATTTAAATGTATTTATTAATTAAAGTTGTTGGTTTCCTAAAGCAAAGCACGTTATTTTTCTCTGTCTTACAGGTCTTATAACAATGGTTGTTCTTCGAACATGAAGGTTTTAGTTTACATGAACTATGACTGTGTCTGATCACTTCATCACGAGGACCGCATTCAGCTGTCATGTCGGCAGAGCTCGCCCTACATGCAGGAATAGCAGTGGTTTTAAGATAAAATGGCAGAAGTACAATATATTTTAACTCTGTATTACTGTAATTGAATGGCATAAGCATTTTATCAGTGACTGTAACAGACAGCTGAGAATCTTTGTTTTATGAAGTCTGCGAGAGAAATCTGAAGAAAAAAAAATGCATTTTATATGTATGCCTGTACAATAATTTTATTGTAAAATGGACGGTCATTTTTTACATTTTGTTTGTGTTTCATTTTTCAATAATAATAAAAATAACAAAAATAAAAATGTTGATCTGGCTATTAATTTATATCATGTTTTAAATGATTAATGTTAACATGTTGCAAGTAGGTTGGCCAGGGGTGCCAAATCAGTGTATGTAAGCTGCCCTGCATCCTCTGCACACTTCTTGCATTATCTCAAAGAGAATATTCCTAGTTCCTATCTTGAACTACAGAATGATAAACCTTGATGTTGTAGAAATCTGAGAGTGGAAGCGTTGAGTAGTTTAGCAAAAGACACTGGGAAGGGCTGACAACACTCAGTCCACAAAATGTTGTAACACGCTGCCTTTCTAAGCCTTGATTACACTTGTGTTTTGGGGCAATAAAAACAAAGTGGCTGAGCCACGTTTTTACTGATCACTCCCTCCTCACAGGAGTATGACTGACAGAAGTGGGAGTCTATGGCTCCTGCTGCTCTCAGTATCTCCTGTGAAAGCAGGAAAAGAGTAGAGTGATGCTGCAGCCAAGACAGACATTACCTGAGTAGAAACGCTTGTCTCCTACCAGTATGCTGTACAGAAGTACCCTTGCACTGTGTGGGGAAGCAGTGGTCTTTCTGCAGAAGTCCAGCACACCCTCTGTTGAGTCAGATCTAGAGCATGCTAAACAGCTGATTACAAAACTATAGGACTGACTCTCTAGAGACCACAGTTTTCTCACATAGCAGCAAGTGTTCTCTGTGTAAGAAAACATGGTTAGAATTTGCACACCGTTTTTTTTAATGAACATGGAAAATATTTTACGGATTTAAACTGGAAGTTATTTTGGGATTTAAAAACATCTGTTGCTATAAAGTAAATAGTGCAAGTAGTGCAAATGAATTGTTTTTGCAAAGGAAATGAAAATGTCATTATAACCTTTTAAATTCTAAATCTATTTGATTATTTTTATTATTTCTTGTTACAAATTCAGGTCATGAGCAACACATTTAAAAGAATGTGTGGAAGACTTTTTTTTAAAAAACAAGGTACATGTAAGAATTCAGTTTTTTTATTTTTTTTTTACTGTGCAGTTAGACCAAATAAAGGGACACTTTTCGAAAATGACTAGTCTTAGGATGCTAGCTTTAGTTAAGTGTATAGAAAGCTACTGGATGTTTTAAAGCACAAGACTTCTTTTGGCCTACAGTTAGATATTAAAGTTATTACCCTACAATTATGTTTGTTATTTTGACCCACAGAACTACCACTGTTTGGTTAGCTCTTTTTTTACAAGGTACCAAACTTAAAGTGTTACAAAACCCACTACAATAAAATCAGTCTGTATATGCAGTAAACCATACTTGTTATACTCACTGTGGAACCTAAGGGGTTAATCCTCCACATTGTGTAAAAAAAGCAGTTTGATACTGTCTTCTCTGATCCTCACCTTCTTCCACAGTCCCAAATCCATATGTTGATAGTACACAGTCCTAGAAGACACTCTGCACATGTTCAATTTGGTGTGTATGGCTAGAGAGTTTTTTTTTTGTTTTGTTTTTTGGAGGTTGCATGTTGTCAAGATCGCGGCGTCAGACCCCAGACCTTCTCACCAAACTCGTGACCGAAGGACTAGCCGATCTAAAACCACGATGTCACGTGCGTAACAATGCCACACCCAGCTGCACCCTGCACAACGATTTTCCAGCTATTTGGACCACAATCGATGTACCGGCAGCCTGAGCGATTGTTACTGGGTCAGGTTAATTACGCAATTAACCCTTCACACTGCCACCACCTCCTTTTTGTACAGAGAAAGAGGAAACTCGGCAATATCAGCTAAAACACTATAATGGTTGAGATAATCGTCTGCATAATACGGTCACGGCAGGCCGATTATGCAGAGAGTTAAACAAACACAGTCTCTTTAGAGGCAGGAATTCGTAAATTGCAATAAAGCGCTATAGAAACAGTTCAACACTTTCAGAAGGAAAGATTTATTACTAAAAGGTCAAACAGGTGCAATAAACATATATACAGAAAAGATGTAACTAAGATATATATATATATATATATATATATATATATATATATATATATATATATATATATATATAAATATACAGAGACTAACAGCACAGCAAAGCAATATCAGAGAGAGGTGGGTTAGCAGATCCAAGTTTCAGAGCGAAAGGGCATGGGTCTCCCCAGGTGGTATTGATGTTAAAATGGGAGACGTCTTCAACTTCCACTCTTAGGCCTGACAGCCTATTTTGTAGTCCCCAGCAGGGGGTGTCTCTGAAGTCAAGGACCAATACCCCGTTTAGGGCATGTAGGTATGGGCGGATACCTCAACTAGAGCCAAAATCTCCCATAACTCATATTTTGGCTCATAACTTTTCCTATGCACAAGTGACATTCCACCTGCGGGTAGATTATTAGGCAGATACGTCTGAGAATTGATTAGATATGAATTATGAAATTATACACTGAACGGTTCACAAGATCTACTTTTCGGCTTTCCTATGTATTCGAGACCTACCAAACTGTTCGCCTTCTTGTGGCCAATCTGACGATATGTCCGGTTTTTATGTAAGTCTCTTATAGTCCAAGATATGAGACATTGGGGAAAAATGGATTTTGAAAAGTGGTTATCTGATTCTGTCACATATGCTGAGTTAGGTTTATTAGGTTGGAATCTCTTTCAACTCCTGGGAAAGCTTGCCTTATCTTATACGAGGTGTTACATTTTACAGGTTCTTCAGACAGCTAGGCCCCAGCTCCCTTGGGGGGCTTTATAGCTCCTATGACCCTCCTGTGACATTCCTAACACACATACTGGCCAAATGTCACTGGGCCTCTCAGAGAGGGAGGGGGGGAAGAATGAGGGAGAAATATGTTTGTCAGGATGGTTAACCCCTTTGCCAAGATGGAGGTTGAAGCCAGAATGGTTGAACCGTGCCCATCTCTGGGTATACGCTGTTACACATGTGATCGGCACAGGGCCAATCAGCACTGTAAAGAGGGTCAGGGGTTATGCAGCTTCATAGGACAGTCGGAGGAGAATGAAAACTCCTTCTGCAAGCTTTAACCAGTGCTCGGCCAGAAACTGATAGAAGTTACAAGACTGCTATATACTGCTGATGAAAAAAAGATATTTAGCAGTTTATACTTACTAATTCATGTTCTGTGTACTGTGGAAGACTGGATATAGTGAATGCAGGGTCCTGGGTTTAGTAACACTTTAAAGGAGAAAAAACACATATACCTAGATGCTGCAGCATCAGTGTGATTCTGCAGCTGTCCCACATCGGCTCTAAACTCAATAACTGAGCAATCATATGATCACTGATCACTCGTTTTTTGGTCTGCTCGAAGTGGAGAGCAGTGACTGTCAGCCACCAATCTCCACTCTGCTCCTCCAGCGGGAGGTGGCAGGAGGAGCTGGCTCTGGGTTTCAGTGGCCTGCTGAGAGGTTTAGCCAGCAGCTGAAGAGGCAACTAGGTGGATCTTGACAATATTGCCAGGATCCTTCTAGAGCAGTGTTTCTCAACCAGAGTTCAGCGAAAAATCCCCAGGGGTTCTGTGTTGATCTAGCCATCAATTGCAGACAGCTGATGGGTAGATTGAGTCTCAGCAAACACATGCAGAGTAGCGTGGAAAGCGGCTCTAATAAAATCTCTCTCATAGCGCAAACCTTCCCGCCAGCCCCTCCTTTCCTGGTGCTTGTATATGACATCACCTGAGGTGGATGGGAGGAAAGGAGGGGCCGGCTGGAAGGATCGTGCTATGAGAGAGGACTTATTACAGTAGCTTCCCGCGCTACTCTGCATTTGAAGGAAGCTGCCTACAAAAGTGTACCCTGTTGTGTGTCCTGCTCCCTGCTGTGTGCCTTGAGATATGCCTTGCTGTGTGTCCCATGTTCTGCTTTGTGCCCCAAGCCCTGCTGTGAGCTCCTTGATGTGTCCCATGTTCTGCTTTGTGCCCCATATTCTACTGTGTGCCTCATGATGAGTCCCATGTTCTACTGTGTGCTCTATGATGTGCCCCATGTTCTGCTGTGTGCCCTATGCCCTGTTGTGTGCCCTATGATGTGCTCCACATTTTACTGTTAGCCCCATGATGTGCCCCATGTTCTGCTGTGAGCCCCATGATGTGCCCCATGTTCTGATGTGTGCCCCATGTTCTGATGTGTGCCCTATGATGTGATCCATGTTCTGATGTGTGCCCCATGATGTGCCCTGTTGCCCCTTATGTAATGTGCCCCATAGTGTGTCCTGCTACCCCCCCATGTAATGTGCCCTACTGTGCACCCCATGTAATTTGCCCTGGTGTGCCCCATAATGTGGCACATGATCCCCCTGTATTGTGTCCTCCTGACCTCCTTTGCTCTGTCCTGCTGCCCCCTGTACACTGCTTATCTCAAGTTAAACCCAGAAATTAGCATCTGCAGAAAAAAAGCAGCACAAGTTTCACATAAAACAGGTAAGTTTTAATATGTTCTATTATTTGATTATATTTCTCAAAATAATTGTTAATATCACATTTTGCTAATCACACCAATGTTCCGTAAGCTGTAGATCTTCATGTTATTTCAGGGGTTCCCCAAGATCCCATACTTTTTTCTAGGGGTTCCTCGAAGGTACAGAGGTTGAGAAACACTGTCCAAGATCCTGGAGCTGCTCTGTGATGTCACCTGATAGAGGGCAATAGCCAGCTGT